TTAGTCTACATGGTGTTGATAACCATGCTGCCCTCAGGTTATTATAGTGTGGATGCTAAGCTGTGAAGAGGGAGCAAGTGATTTTTCTTGGAAACTGCTTTCACACAGTGTAATAGTGAGTCTTTGCCGGTATGTCAAATGACAAAAAAATCATCAAGTTAAATAAACAATTTAAAAAACTTGGATAGCTTGATGAAGGGAAAAGCACAATTTATTTTCTATGCTACAGAAAAGGACTCTATATTTACACATTTCGATAGGCTTGTTCTGGTAAAACATAGCATTATGCAGCAAAATGGATTCACACGCAGTATGAAATGTTATGGCTTCTAATTTGAAATACTGTATGTAACATTTTGGAGGATATTTCTTTTAACTATAAAAGAGAATATATAGCTACTAACATTATCACTAACCCCAAGGAAGCTGCAACATCTGATCATTGATGCTAATATTCTTCTTATGTTTCTGAGTGATGGACTGCAATATTTCCAGAATAATTTAAAGCCTCCAAATACTGAGACTTTCAAGGGGAACCATGATCTTCCAATGTAACTACCGTTATACCATCACACGTCAGCTGCTGCTTTGAGAGAATTGAGACTGGAAGAAAGTCCCTTTGGCTGTTTCGGTTTATGGATATGAAATACAGGACATGAGTGATATGAAGATGTTCCTGTGGCCCTAATTAGGAACCAGGAAATAGTACATTGTGTCATCCTGCACTTCATTATGAAGACTACAGTATATTGCAATAGCCTGATATATCAGCTGGCCATTTTTTGCTGATATTAGTGTTTATTTCCCTTATATCGACCAATAAGTGCATGCGTTGGTCGATTCATTCAGCACACTGTACCATGATATCTCATCAAGGACATGCATAGCTATCCCCCCCATCAGTGATCCATTGTTAATGCTTTTTTTGAGTTGTTAATAAATGTTTTGTTTTTATAAGCACTTCAGATGGAGATACTCTTACCTGAGTGAGTTAAGTCATAGGTGTAAAAGGCAGGGCTACTTTTAGGACAAATTTTTTAAAGTATGTTTTTATATATCTTCCAGTTTGCACTGAAGAAACTGTTGACAGCCAGGGGCAACCTTCCCACTGTAATGACCAAACTGGGCATGTTAATCTGTGAATGGCTGCTGTGCCAAGCGCTCTGCTGATGCATAAATATTTTTACAAGACTTTGGACTTTCTGCCTGATTTCAAAGAGAAAGGGTATTTTTCCTCTGCGTGTGCAAATGCAACTAGTGCTGTCCATTCCTTTCTCATCGTAGAAGTTTTCCTATAAAGCAGTTGTACCAGCTAGAAAATTCTAATTTATTAGGTGTTTCTCGTTAGTCCTCTAGTCGAGCAGCCTTAGGAGATGTAATTCTGCCATTTAGAAAGGAAATAACTACCTTGATAACATTGATAACCTTGACAACATCAATGCTGTTTACATTTTTCTAATTATGATCAAATTAAAGAGGCAATAATATGACTCTTTACCAGCACAGATGCTCTACCAAAAAACATTGTTAACCAGCCTGTTGAGTTTTTTTTTTTTAGATCAATATTTCGTTTGAGGGTCTTTATCTTAGGTTGTTAACAGGAATATGATTTTTTTTATTTTTTATTGTTGCTTACATCATAATTGCAATAGGCAACACAGCATACCATCACCAGCGTTTAGGTCCATATTGCCAATCCCCTGCAGAAACAACAAACAGTGCAATTTTTGATAGAAGTATGTTATTCTAGTCTGTATTCAACATAGGTTAAATCGTTTGAATCTTAAAATTCGGTATTGCTTAGTTAGTTAGCACTTTTCATTTATATTCTGGATGATTTGTCCTCGAAATCTTGACAGTAGTTCTTCCACAACTGAATCCCCTTTAGACGGCACCTCTGGTTCCCTATTTATCCCGAAGACCATGGGTGTTAAGCTGTTCTTTTCTTTCTCTGTTTCTGTCTCTCTCTCTGTACAGTACATCATCTCATTTTCACTGGTGTCTCGACAGCCAGGAGCCCTGGCCTCATCATCAGTGTGTGCATGTGTGGTGGGCTCCTGCTGACGCTGTATGTCGCTGCAGACTGACGTCAGCACTGCTTCGCTTTTCTCCATACAAATGTCCTGCATGGCTATGTACCATTGATAGGCCCCCCACCCCCCCACGCTGTCTTATTAGCATGTTTTTATCAGTTCTCGCACCTCTCACACTGCAGAGGCAGGCTAATATGACACAGGGGTGTAAGTAACTGGCTGTCTTAATAGCTTGCACCGGTTTATTGACTCCAGTTTGGAAATATTTACGACCCGTTTTATGTTGAAATACTGTGTGTGAGAGGGGACTTTTTTTTTAAAGAGCCCACCTGTGTGCATCTGGTGGTTGTGTCGAGTGTGCTGGGGGGCTTTAAATTTAATCTATAAGCCTCTCTTTTATACCTTGTCTTCATACATCTTAGGCTTAGTTTTTTCCGCTATTTTTTTAAAGTGTGCATGGATTATCTCTAAAAATTTGTGCACTATAAATCAACCTAACACAAGCGGCTCCTGCAACTTTGCTCACAGCGTCACACAGAATCTCACATGCATGAGATATGACCAGTTGTAAATGTTTAAAGATAGCAAAATACATTCAAAAACAACTTTACTTCCTTATATAGTATAGAAATATTGCGCTACCAAAAAGAGCAACTGGTCACACTTCTAAATTTTTTAAATGAAGAGAATATAACTTATCTGCTTAAATTTAAATAAAATAATTAGAAGAATAAAATATTTAAGATGTGTCAAACTGTTGATGTAAAAATGGCTACCTGTTATTCAGCTGCTTTATTCAGCATAAAAGTCATGGTTGTGCAGATGTGTTTATCAAGATGCAGGAGTTTGGGTGTTTTAGTCTCTGTTTGCCTTCAACTGTCCTCAAACTAAATTTAGTTTTCTTTCAATCTCAGAGCAAGTAAAAAAGTCAACCTTCTTTTGGTGTCTTATGCACTAATCTTACAGAGGTGGAAGGAAAAGTATAATGGGATGGTTGCACAGATTGCATGCATGGTGCACTATAGTGTGACTGCAGACATTTGAGAAGGTCTGGCTCTGTGAAGGTCTAATGCTGAATCTAATATCAACCCACATCTCACTTTTTTCTCATGTTTATGTCTTCTGCCCTCGTCCCTTCTTTAATGTCTGCCTCTGTTTCAACTCTTCCTTCTCTCTCCATAAACAAGCAGAAGGCCAGTAACTCTGTCCTCCGGCCTTCTCCCGCCATCTCGTTGCCATGGTGTGCGGATCATTGTTTGCTGGCCTCTGTGTCGGGTTGCCATGGCAGGGCTTATTTGCCATATTAAATGTTTGGCAGCATTGTGCAGATGCTGATGACAAACACCCAACAGCCCACTTTGATCAGTGATGCAGGTACTGATTAGAGGGAGTGGACCCTCTGATCTATTTAGAAAATGTAGTCTTAGATCCGACCTGCTCCAGGTTACATGCATTTGTTTAAGTTTTTAGTTTGATAAATGAAACATTTTAAATCTGACATAGCTAGTTCTGCTGAATCAGATTAAATGATCTACAACATATAAGTTGTGATGCTTTTTTGTTTTGTTTTTTTTGCTCTTCTTTTTTATCTCTTCTTGTTTTAATGAGACATTGTCTTTTTTATCACTGACCATATGTTTACCAGTTAGGATTTGGCTTGTGTTTCTTTTGGAAAAGCTTTTGTTTATTTAGATTCAGTCATCTCCCCCTTGTGTCAAAAATGGAGAATGCATGGTGGGTTAAAAAAAAGCGTGTGTCACAGCAGTGAAAGTTCTTGCTGGATTTTAAGAAATCGAAAAACATTTGACAGTTTTACAAATCAAAATATATTTATTTGTAAACAATGTCAAATCTGTTTCACTCCAGGCCCATATCTGCGTATTGAACTAGATGCTTATAACAAAGATAATAAACCTCGGAAAAAAAAAAAAACTCCAGAGGCAGGTTTAATCAGGATAAAAATATATTCAAATAAGAGAATAGGAAATCCTGATTGCTTAGGTTTGTATCTGATAGCACAGGGTTATTTTAAACTCATCTTTTTACATTTCCAGGATTGTAAGCTACCTGCTTTGAACAGCCAAACATTCTTAAAGTATTTAATCTTAAACTCTTCATTGCTGGATTTGTATATAGTCAATAAAATACTATTTTTGGATACACTTTTATTATATTTTTAATGGTGCTATCAAGTGATGTAATGGTGTCCTGGTCCATGACCCATATCAGCAACAGTTGGTGAGTTATACCTTTTCCCTCCGTGTCAAAGACAAAGTTAAAACCTAATTTACAGCAATAAAATGTTCTTTTTATTGTGTGTATGACAACAACACAACAAGTACTCTTCAGCTGGAGCACAAAACCCTCCTTAAATGCTGTCTTGAGCAATTGATATATGCTTGATTTATACTGCAATCATACTTGACATTGGAGATCAGGTTATTTCAGGTTCACCAGTATAGTGTTACACAACCCCTGCCAGCTTTGACCCTGCCGTGCTATAAAGTGTGAGAGCTCCTGTGTACCAACAGATAGCATGGAAATGCTGCCGATTGACGTAGTTGGGGCTTAATAAGATCTCATAACTCTATTGTAGACGCACCACAGTGGTTTTAGTGGTTTGCTTTACTGCTTTCTGCTCTCATTGAACGTTATAGTTGTGCAGCATGCGACTTTACAGTGCTTGGAGTGGAGTGAGTGCATGAAATGGTACAGGAAATTCTTAATGTGAACTTTTACTACACTGTGTGTTTAGATAACAGGCAGAATAGACTAGCAGAGGCTGCGTGGCTCTGCTGCTGACCCACCCATGCCCTCTTTGACGCAGTAGGCTCAAAGTGGAGCACAGGTCAAGGCCTGTGGATACCCGTCATATTATCTTTAACACACATGCATGTATATCTTATGTTGATGTTTGGGTGACAGCTATATATATAAATATATATGTGTTGTTGTTTTTTTTTCCAGATGATCTTGTGGGACTGGGATCTGAAACACTGGTACAAACCACAGTATCAGGTCAGTACTGCATCTGGTTTAGCTCACTTTTTGAGTTTAAAGGTCATTCAGGAAAATTCCCTTTTTTTTAAAGACCTAAACTCACCTTTAGCACTTCCTCACATTTTTGCTCTATATTGTGTAAAAACCCTTATTGCAATGGCCCTTGAGTCATCATCATGCCACTTTTTTTTTCTTTTTTTATCTCACCCAGACTCTTTTGTATGCTGTTTGAACTATTTGTGTAATCTGTTAAAGAATTCAGCAGCCAAAGGCCAAAAGTCATTGTTTGTTCGTGTTCTTGACAAAGTCGACCCAGTAGGAACATTTTCTGTTATGAAAGCTGGCCCTAAAAAAAAAGTGAAGATTACACTGTGATGGATTACTTTTAACAATTTATGAGATTTCACTTTTGATATAAGCAAAGCTCCCCCACTTTCAAAATGGAATTGAGATATTGTTTTGTTTTCCTCCCAAAACATTGTGCTTTATTGTTTCTGTCTTATGTTGTAAGAGCCTGGAGGATTAGAAAGGATGAGGGGAATGAACTTGAAGAGGAAGTCAGCAATGATAAATACAGTGGGGATAATAAATATTGGACTCTAGAATGTTTTTCTCAGTAAATATGTTCCTCTGGCTGTTATCATATAATTCCCACCAGATGTCACTAACATCCTAGGTAATCTACAAAGAAAAGGAAATCAACACAAATTACTCTTAAAATGATTTGCAATAAACCCAAATGCCACATGAGAAACCAAATGAACTGAAATCCATGAAATACTTGCATGGTGCATGCATGGCTCAGGTGTGATTTGAATTTATTCTTCCACACAAACTGCTGTCAAATCTGGAAGGTTCCTGGATCATTTCCCATGAAATTCAGATTTAAATCTGCCAGTTTAATGAGCAATATCTTGCTACATTCATCCTTCCAGCTACATGAAGTCTGCCAGCACAGTATTCTGATAAATAGTCCGACACAATGTTTTTGTGTGCAAACTTTACTGTTGGAAATGTATCTATTTTATACGAATGCATTGGCTCTACCAGATCTTCAATAGCAAATTAGATGACCTGTTTTTTTTTTTTTTAGTTTTTACAGCACTATTGGCTTGTTTTTTCGACAATAGGCTGACAGGAAAGGGGGAATGAGAGAGAGAGACATGCGGGAAAGTACCACAGGCCAGATTCGAACCCGGGTCACCCACGCCGAGGACCAAGGCCTCCGTATATAGGTCGGGTGTGCTAACCACTGTGCCACCTGCACCCCGAGATGAATTTTCCTTAGCAGTTGAGGTTTGTGCAGAGAGTAATCATAGAAGCCACTGTGGTTAAATGAACTAGAGGAACAAATCCCACCAATGGAGATTGGTAAAAGATAAGCCCCTTTAATAAGGCTAGTAGGTGTGCATTATTTATAGATGATGTTGGTGAACCAATGGTCATTTACCCAGAATAGACTTGGAGAAAATATTGGCTATCTACTTCAACATATGCATGTATAGGGTTAGGTTTATCAACACTCGTTGTCGAAGTCATCTTCCGCTTCATCCAGGGTCAGCAGCCTCAGCAGAGACTTCCAGCCTTCCCTCTCCATAATACACCTCCTCCAGCTCCTCAACAGAAGTGCAAATCACTCCGAAGCTGTCATGATGGATCAAAGGAGCAAGCCCATATGCAGAACACACACGAAGGAGGCAGGGAAAAAGTTCAAATGTTTATTAAAAGTTCTGAACACGTGAGCATAACAAGTTCTGAGACTGGTTCACTGAAGTCTTGACTGGGACTGCAGACTGTTGGTTAGCAGGGTTCATGAGAAGCTAAGCGTCTAGCTTCAGGCTTAGCATGGCAGACCTTGATCTGAGCTTCCAGCTCACTGCAGAGAACAACAGGGAATATCCACATAGGATTCTTCAGGCTGATTCCACATAGGAATCTTCAGGTAAACTCCATATAGAAGTCTTCAGGTTAAATCCACATAGGAATCTTCAGGTTGGCTCACCAGGGCAGATTAGCAGGTTAGGCTCGCCTAGAGCTTCAGCTTTTTTTTTCTCTCTGCATAAACCCAGAAAAACATAAATTGGAGGACCTTAAATTGTCACCATCCCCTTCTTCCTGGGTTAGAGAACGAAAAACTGCCCCACAACAGTGGGGAAACACACAGTAACAAATAACACCCATCACTTAAGATGCTCCCTTAAATGCATCTGCTCTCTAAGCAAGGTTTTGGTTTGGTGTCTTGTGGCAGGGTGCAGTGAGTGGCAATGGCGTGGATCTGTCAGTCATCAACGAGGCCAGGAACTTGGTGTCAGAGCTTCTGATGGACTCCTCACTTTCGCCAAACACAGCCGCCACTCTACGCAGCATCTCAAGCCTGATGGGGACCTTTTCAGGCTCATGTCGCCCCAGGGTCAACCCCTTCACGCCCTTCCCGGGATTCTACTCTGTAGAGTCAGAGGACTCTGCAGAGAGGAGCGACAGGAAAAGTGTAAAGGTGAGCAAAGGTTTCGCCAGAGCTGTAAACCCTCCTATCTGCTTAAGTTGTCCATATTGATGATTTATTGATTTCCTTTTGGCTTTTTGGCAATATTATGACATAGACAGATCTTATGATATGGAGGTATTTGTACAGCAATCCAGTGTTTAATAGGTGATAACTGACAGAGTTTTTATTCCCTGTGCATCTTGCATCCTTGTGCTGAACTTGATAAGAATTTCTATCATGTCCACAACCTTTGGTTGTGACCTAATTTGTGTTGCTTCATCAGTAATTGTTTGACAGATATTTCTCTTAAATATGACCTTCCTCTGTCTGCCAGGGTTTGAGCAGCAGAAACAGCCTCCCCACCCCTCAGCCCAGGCGGAGTTCGACCTCCTCCACATCCTCTGCACTCCCTTCGCTGGACTCAACCTCTTCTCGCTGGGAGCGCAACAATGGAAAGAGACCCCACTGTGACCTCAGTTTGACCAGGTATCAGATTTATACCAGGTCTATATAATGTCGATGAGTTCTATTTAGATTCTTCTCAAAAGGAGGTTTAAAATCAAACCTCAGTTGTTTTAGATCCATCCAAATAGCTTTATAGATGGGTTCTAGTAAAACACATTGAAGGTCCAGTAAAATCCTGACTAACTACTTTAAGTGCAGACCTGGTTTGAGTAAAGGTCTCTCAATTATAGCTGGAGGTAACATGGTTTTGTTTAATTTGCAATAAATACTTTTTTCAGTGTTTTCTCTGGGTGCTCTGGCTTCCATCCACAGTCTAAACACATGAACATTAGGCTGATTGTTCTCTTAATTGCCCTAGGGTATGATTGTGTTTGGGTATGATTGTCTATGTGTTATAAATAGGTTGTACCCTGCCTTTTTAAACTTTTGCTGCTTGAGGGGTCACATCAACCAGAGACGCTGATCTGGGAGCTGGCAGGAAGACAGAAACAGCACTGCTGATGCGAAGCTCTGCTATCACTCCTCTAAAACTGTTTATTAATGCCTAAATTAACTTAAAATGTCAAAACTTATTGAAAAAAATATGTTTTGGTATTGAGGTGGGCTTTTCTCGTGTAAAAAAAAATTTACTATTAACTATTTTTTACCAGTTTATCACAGCAAATATAACAAAGCCACCAAGGAGCAGCACAAGCAGGAGCATCAAGGGCGTTCTTGACGAGCATCTGACGTTAATGTGTACAAGCTTTAAAAATGAAGCAGCAGTTGCTTTTTTGCTGTCCAGAGCGCATGTGGTGTGACCGTAGTATTAAACTGCTTGAGACCATGATGAAGTAGTAGAGGATGTAGGTTTATTATTTTTTTTGTTTAAACTGAGACTTCTGTAACTTTTCTTATCATTGTCTTTTTTTAATGTAAATAGAGAAAGATAAAACAATACAGGCTTAAAGATTAGCCAAAAATGTAGGTTGTCTACAATGGTATCAGCTGTAAAAACCTGTATTGGTTAAAATTTTTTAATTCAAACTCTGTTATGTAAAAATCATGGAATTAATTATACAACAACATCCAAATTTCTGATTTTTTTTGACAGGTTTCAGCTGATTCATCTGCTCTTCCTGAGGGAGAATCTTTAGCCATCCGTTTATATTACCTGCTCATAATTTAATGGCAATAGCTGGGTTATGTCTTATTTTGCGTACTACCACTCACATTGTAATCCTTTTCCAGTTTAAATTCTGCTTAGTGCTATGACTAAAAACTAAACAGCTGACTTGAATTATTATTATGCTTTATATTTTGTCACGCTTATTTGGAAATTAGATTGTTTTAAAACTTTGACACTACTAAAAGTTTTGAGTGAGCCAGTGACTGAGAGGAGGAAATATTTCCAGGAAGCTCACTATGTCAGAATTTACAATGCCAAACGTTACTCACTAGGTCTGTTTGGGTTTAACAAGCAGTCTGAGTATATCTGAATGAATCAGAGTTGATTAAAAAAATTTATTGGCTTTGTATTTTCTTTCATTTAGCTTGAACTGTTTACATATTACTCTTTTGAAGAAAAAAATATTTTTTACTTTGATGTGTGGTGTTGCCTCTACAGTATATTTCCACTGGGTGGCAGGAGAGAACTGCTTAAAATACTATTAGCAGAGTTTAAGTTCTGTGATTGTTCTACCTTTTTAAGTATAGGGAAGTGTTGTTTCGATGAAGAAAATAGCTAATTCGAATTTTTTTTTCTCTTTTTGTTTTGTTTGCTACAGCTCAGCTCTGACTAACGGTCCCAATGCAAACCTCCTCACCATTCCAAAACAGAGATCCTCCTCTGTTACCCTAACATACCATGCTGGGCCAAGAAGAACAGGTGAGACTTTACTATCCAAACTCACATATTTTATGAAATTACTAAAGCTCTTTCTCAGTGTTGGTCCTTCGTCTTTTCCCCACCCTGTTCATCCTTTCTAGGCACCTCTCCAAGCCTTAGCCCAGTCACCTCGCCAAGCCATAGCCCTCCGACGCTAAGTACAGGTTCCTCATCGACCGTCAGTCCTCGGTTGCCTGTGGAGTTTCCAGACACAGCCGACTTTTTGACAAAACCCAGTGTCAATCTGAACCTCCACAAGCCCTTGGTCCACACAGTCAGCTCCACTGATTTCCAACAGTCATTTCGTAGCTCTGCCTTCTCTCTTTGCACCAGGTGAGAGACATGATATCTAGGGCCCAGTCTCATTGGAGTCTGATTAACATGCTTTAATGTGGTCTGTGATTGTCCTAAAGCTGTGGTCGGCAGATGCTCAAGGGAATTTCCAGCAGTGAGTCGGGGGACTCACATCAGCTGTTCACCAGTGAGGCTCAACGGAGGCGCTCAGGTACAAACGTCACAGAGTGGAATCCGGTTATTGCAGTCAATCTTGTTTTCTGATCCAGTTCAGTGAAAGAGAAACCCTTCAAACCTGTATATCAAGAGATTAATGCTGCCCTCTTCTGGACTCTTATAGTACTGCAATTCTTGCTTTTTAAAGCCATTAGAACATATACAAACACCCGTGAATTTATTCGGTACATTTTAGAAACAACATAAACAATATAGAAACAATTAGATCCACTTTTTTTTTTTACTTCTAGGTTTGTGTTATCTCAACACCTTACTATACACCACTCACTTGTTATTTGTGTTCACAGTGGCAGAAGGGCTGGATTATGTAGGAGGGGATTCTATCAGGGAAGAGCCGGACGTGTCTGGAGATGGGAAGCCAGATGCTGAAGGAAAACAAGGAGTGGCAGAGGAGGAAAGGGAGAAGATCCTTACTGCAGAGCTACAGACTCACAAATCAGACGTGAGTTTGATTAGATTACCTCTCCTCTACATAGTTCACCTATGTATCAGGGTTAGAGTTTTTTTTTTCACTGAATGAATAATTGTTTTAAAGATGGGTATTTTAGCATTTATTATTATACTGCTTCTTAAGTTCTGGAGGACTTACATGTCATCTAAATTTCTTATCGTTAATGTGATTATCATTGGTTTGTTAGTTTTTCTTTCTTTATATTTTTCAATTGGGTGTGTTTATATTGTGGTTGCCTGCAGGGTGAACAGGAGTTCAGGCTTGATCCCATGCTGGAGGACCATGAGGGTCTCATGGAAAAGATGGACACCTGGAACTTCCAGATTTTTGACCTTGTAGACAGAACTGGAGGGAAAACCGGAAGAATCCTCAGCTACGTTAGTACCAATGCAATAAACTAAGCATTTACATTAGTATGGGCTTTTATTAATTAAAGATAAAGATAAATTATTAGATTACTGTCTTAAGCCTTTAATATGCATGGTTTGGGGGAAAAGAGATGCGTACATTGTCTGTAATGAATAAGAACAAACTAATACCACAGATATATGTTGTAATATTCTCCAGTGTGATACAGCCTCTAAAGAGCAGTCTCATGTCTCGCTGTAATATTCTCAGGTGACATACACATTGTTCCAGGACATGTGTCTGTTCGAGATCTTCAAGATCCCTGTAAAGGAGTTCATGTCCTACTTCTTTGCTCTGGAAAGTGGCTATAGAGACATTCCCTGTGAGTATAAAGCTGTGCTGAGGTCAGAACATTTTAAACAACTATGTTTTAGTTAAAATACAGATTTTAGTTTCCCATACATCATTGTTTAAGCTTGAAACAATATAGAAATTTGCACTGATATTTATATAATTACTACTAATGGACAATAACCAATATTTATTAATTGATATAGATTCCTTTCGTTCCATTGACGACATAAAAAAAAATACAATTGTTGATACTACGTTAATGCCAATTATATGTGATGCACCAGGAATAAAACACCAGGCTCAGAGCTCATCTGCCTGGCTGTGTGTTTCCTGGACGGGGCCGCCTTTTACAGCTGCTTTTTGTGTCTCTGCTTCTGTCTCCTTGAACCCCAGTCGGCCTCGGCAGATGGCCGCTCACACAGAGCCGGGTTCTGCTGGAGGTTTCTTCCTGTTAAAAGGGAGTTTTTCCTCTCCACTGTCGCTACAAGCATGCTTAGTGTGAGGGATTGTATTTGAGTCAATGAGTCAATGCAATCAACTGGTTTTCCTTAGATAGAGAACTTTGTATCAATTTGACTGGATGATCTGGTGAACTGTAAAGTGCCTTGAGATGACATGTGTTGTGAATTTGGCGCTATATAAATAAACTGAATTGAATTGAATTGAATTAAAGTAAGAACTATCAACATGGGGATAATGGGGGGAGTGGGGGGAGGTTGGGGGGATGGAAAAGCCACCAAAGTCTGAGTAAAGAGGGATTTTGGATTTACAGCAGAATGTTTATTGAAAATTCACTCGTTATGTTTGGAGCATAACACAACCAGCCATGATCTTTATATGTTTGCGCCTTTTTTCTTTTTATATATGTGTGTTAGCCACTATGCTGCGTGCTTGAATAAAGCTCATGGCTCCCTATGCAGATAGGTTATTAATGTCTGAATACATTTGATAAAATCGCCATGGGCAACCAGTTAGGTCCAGAGCTTTTAGCTCTGTGAATTTTCTCAGGTGCTGCATAGAAATAAGCTCTGATCAAGGCAGAGGCTCAGATTACAAACCTACTACTGTAATTAATGATGACAAAGGTTTCGTACTGTAACAATATCGACGAGCATGAGAATAGAAACAAATGGATAAAAGAAACTCAGTAATTGAATCATACATAGTAATGGAGCATATAACAAGCCTTGTGTGCCTAAAGCCCTGTTGCAGATGGAAATAAACTAAACTTCTCTTTCACAGCTCCCCGTATATTTTCTATTTTCCATATAGACATCTTACCAGCCTATTGCTTTTGCAAATTGTGGCTGCATTTAGGACGTGCAAATACCATCAGACAAGTAATGAGTGCACTTATTTGCTGCTTCGGTGGATGGTTAATCCGGTTAAACATTTTTTACTCCTCAAGGTACTAGGACTTTTTTCTACCATGGGTACCGGGACTTTTACCCACATCCCTGGCTGCCTGACCTCTCCACAGTGTACTGAACTGATGATAATAAATTGCACTAGGAAATTTTGGAGATGCCTGCCTGCCTGCCACTTGGTGCATATTTGTGTGTGCGTAATATGTGGACTGGCACCAAAGGCTTCATGGGATTAAGTAGGTTGACCTAATATCTGGTAAGAACGTCAAACTTTGTGGCGGCATATGTCACCATACCAGGTGGCAACTTGCTTGTTCACACTTGATGGCGACTGGCATCACCTTACCTAGTGACGAATGGGTTCAAGATAAAGATTCCTATAATGCAATGAATAGATAAGTATATTATTGATTTTATTTTTTAGAGTACCTGGTATGTTTTTTTGAAGGTCTAGAAGGGCCGTCTGTGTCTTTAGCATAATGTCAGCCTTTGGATTGATATGGAATCCATTTAAAATTGTTTAATCTCTCTTTTTCCTTCTTAATTGGTAAGTTGATGCTCTATTACAGAGGCAATTGAAGAGTTTTATTTAGATATGTGCACTCAGGTGTGTTAAAAATAGGCCTAGTCTAGTCTTAGTCTAGTTTTAAGAAACTGGTTGAATTTGGGTTATAATGTTGAGCCCTATGCTCCAATGAATTAGTGTGCATAATGTGGAGGCTTTTATTTAGTGCAGTCCCTGGAGTCTTAGGCCCCGTCCACACAAAGACGAACCCTGGCCTAAACGCACACATTCTTCACCAAACCAGCCTCTCATCCACACGAAGCCGGCGTTTCGGGGGTCTGTAAACGATCTTTTTTTTATTCAGCCTTCAGAGTGGGAAGATTTCGAAACGCCGTTTTCGCGTTTCCATCTTTACGCTCTAACCGCATATTTTTTTTTACATGCATGCGTCATAGCGTCGCCTCTAAACACGCATGCGCGACCAGTATCACAACAACAATGGTGCCGTTGCTGCTAATGCTACTCATCCTGCTGTCGGGCTTACAACAGAATCTTCTTCTTCTGGAATATCTCCAGGAAGAACAGAGCAATATCGATGACATAGTTCAGCACCTGAATTTGACTGAACCACGAAAATGGACCCGCAGGACAACCATGTATAAATATTAGTGCGCATGCCCAACATTTCGTCGCTTATTTTTGCTTTGGCACCACAGCGCCACTTACAGGCCTGGCATACATTTTGCAGCGTTTTCATGCATTCGTGTGGACGCTCACATTTATTTTACGTCTCCGTCTTTACGGCAAACGTTTTGGAAAATATCAGCGTTTCGTGTTCGTTTTGACTTCGTGTGGACGGGGCCTTACTCTGAAAGTATCAGGGTTGTGCAGCTGACCTGCTGCTCCTGGAGGTACCGAGATCCAAAGGGTAGCTCAGAGGGACTGAGATTCGCCAGCTCCAAGTTTAGTAATCGATAGTTCTGCCATTAGCGATTAAAACTGTTGTTGATAATTGCAGAGTTGCATAATATATACCATATTTTCACGACTATAAGGGGCATATAGAAGTTTTTTTTTCCCTCAAAATGTGCGCCCTATGTGTGTCGTTACTGCGGACGTTGTTGAGACCACCATGAGAATGTTAAAGGGGGAAGTGTGGGCGTGGATTGTGTATAAAAGAACAGGTATGTGCTTTATGCAGAACTCTTTCATCATCTCCTCATTGAGGAGATGATGAAAGAGTGGTTGAGGGACTTGTATGTAAGGAGACCAGGTGGTTTTTTCCACGCATCACCATCGCTGTTAATCTGTGATTCCATGCGTGCCCATCTCACAGCCGATGTGAAAAACATGGTGAAAAAAATGACCGCTGTGCTTGCTGTTATTCCGGGAGGTCTGACAAAGGAACTTTAACCGCTCGACATCGGTGTGAACCGGGCATTCAAAGTAATGCTACGTTCACACCGGACGCATCAAGAGCAGCAAAATCGCGTCTGCTGCTTCATTTTTGCTGCTTATACCAGTTAGTTCTGACGCGTGGCTGAAGCAGCTTTGCTGCTCTGGCTGCACGGTGCAAAAGTGTGTCTGACGCGCGTTGGGCGGAGCTACTATCCTTTCTTTGCCTTGCAGCTATATTTGCTGTGATCAGTGGGAATAAAGTAGTTTTACCGTAATATGTTTTTAAGTGAGAAAGTCCACCTGAAAACTTAACCATTGCAGTCAGTTCATCCAGATTACAATCCCACCTTCCAATATTATTTCTGTCGGAGCTGCTCAGACCCCACATACCAGCGGTGCACTGTCAGTAGGAATCTCTTCAACAGCAGCCTCTGGCCGGGTCGCCTCCTAGCGGTTCACCGCGGCAGCTGGTAGGTGAATAATCTAAATAATCTAAACTGCAGGCACCAGGATAATAAAAGCGAACATATTTTGTTGGCAGATTTCTGCATTTTAAGTTAATTTATGTGTCAATAAACTGTTTCAGAGAAGTGATCACATCGCTCTGTGTCATCAGCGATGTGTCTGTCTCACGGCCAGCTCCCAGGTTTGATTAATACTTTGTAATAAATACATGAATAAATCAATATAGCCTAAGAAAATTTACAATTTATTTTAAGAAACAACTTATGTCGTCATTTAAGGAAGAACAAGGTTTGAATATCAGTTGACTGATTGAACAAGACTCCTATATCAATTCTGGAGAATTTGTAAAATGTGTTTTTGCCTGAGAGATGGTTAGAATTAGGAGACAAATGGTGAATGTGGTCTATTGTCCTAAATGAGTCATGCGAACGATTTAAGAATGGAGTTGATCGTACGAACACTTATTGCAAGAGGTTTTTGACTATGCAGGAAACCCAGAGTACCTGGAGGAAACCTATGAAATATTGAAGTATAAAATGAGGAAAGGAGATTAGAAAAGAGGATATAGGATGAAATGAGGACAGATAGGATAAGACAGGACAAGAGAAGATCAGACATTTGGGCAGTGTAAGTCTGATGACTAACTAACTGCTTCTTGTGCAGTTTTTTATCGATGAACAATGGTGGGGAGACTGTCAAACGGCCACCGTGTATGCAGCTTGTAGAAACCTCTGGTGATTCTGTCCAATCCACTGTTGATGTTAGTGACTATCCTGTTTAAAGTCCCAGGGGTTTCTTCAATTTGAAATCTGGTTTGAAGGTATTCCAGTAATAAAACATCAAATGATTCACTTGTTTCCAGGGCTGCATTGATGAAATTTTTAATTTCCCCAAATTTGTTAAAGATGTCCTCGGAAATCCTTCTGGCAACCCATCCCATTGGTTGTTTACGCGGCCGCTTAGAGGGGTAAGGGTTTTTTTCAGGTAGAATCTTATCATTTGGGAAAGACGTTCTAGTAAATTTTGATAAACACCTGATGGGAGGGATCTGGCAGCTTTCTTAGAGCTGTTTAGCACATTTCTAAAGAGTAGAGCACAAAAAACAGTATTGTGCATTGTCTTTCTGCTAGCATAATCTGCTGAATACATAAATTCTTTCTTTTTGAGTCCCAGGTGAATCTCCAGACCTTTGATTAGACAGGAATCAAAAATGTGGTTTTTGCAATCCAGGGCAGCCCAAATCAACCTTTTAGCTGAGCCAAATTTTTCATACATGATCTGAGAAACTACATT